ATGTACCTTATGCTGAGGTTTCCTCATTTGATCAACTCTCAAAAAAATTTATGCTATAAAACTTTTTTTTTTTTAATTCAGGCATAGTGAGTGGGTCAGGTAATAAGTTCCTTGTTTCAAAATTAACAGAGTAAAAACATTCAGTGATATTGTGTTTGATATGTGGACTTTCTGAATAAAGTATGCATGTCAACTACCTGTTCCTTTGTCAGCTGCTTCCATACATGTTCAGAGACTGGACCTTCCTTAATGTCTCAGAGCTCTGAAAATCCATGAGGTAATATGGTGAGGATACAGTTTTCTTTCCAGTTTCTGGTAACCTGCCTTGCACAGAGGCAAAGTAGACCTTTAAAAAATGGCCAAGCTTGCTAGGTGTGGTGGGATTAGCCTTTAATCCTAGTGCATAGAGGCAAAAGTAGTCAATCTTTGTGAGTTTGGGGTCAGCCTGGTTCGTACTGAATTCCAGACTAACCAGGGCTACATTATGAGACCCTGTCTCCAAACAAATAGTTGGCTCATCTGTTGCAGAGAACCTAGGTTTGGCTCCTAGCACTCACATGGTGGTAGCTCATAACCATGTGTAACCCCTCTGCAGGCACATGGGGTACACACACACACTTTTGGACAAAATACTTATATGAATAAAATTTTTAAAGTCATTTTTTTTCTATTTTTGCAGGGTCTTGCTATGCAGTCTCGGCTGGCCCTGAACATGTGGCAACCCTCCTGTCTCAGCTTCCCAAGGGCTCAGATTATGGACCATACCTGGCACAGGTCCTCAGATTTTGTACCACTTATGGAAACAGGTATGTCCTTTTCTTTTTGAGATGCTATGGATTGAACTTAGAGTCTTGTATATGCTAGGCAAGCACAGTACTATAGAGTTATATTCCCAGCTCCCAATTTTTTTCAGTTACATTTATTTGTGTGTGTGTGTGTGTGTGTGTGTTCATCCCATACATGGCACAGTACATATGGAGGTCAGCAAACAACTTGCAGGACTTGGTTTTTTCTTTCTACCATAATGGAACCCAGGGATCAAAAGGAGATCATCAGGTTTGGCAGCAAGCACCTTTACCCCTGAGCCATATCCATGGCCCCCGTTTTTTTTTTTTTTTTTTTAAATTATTATGTATGTGTATATACTTATGCATGTGCATTCGTGCATGCTTGGGAATATATGCATATCCCTATCATATGCATACCATGGCACAGAGTGGAAGTCAGAGGTCAACTTTCAGGAGGCAGCTCTCCCCCTTTGTCCAGCTGAGGCAGTATGTCTCTTGTTCCTGTCACAGTCCATCCTCCAAGCTAAGTGGCTCTTGAGCTCCCAGGTAAGTCTCCTATCTTTGCTTGTTATTTCATTGCAGGAGTTCTGGGGTCACAGGCTCATGCCACCACATCTGGCTTGTTTACAAGGGTCACTGGTATGAAATTCATGTCATGAGGTTAGCATGGCATGAACTTCTCATCGGGTGAGCCCATGAGCCCCACAGGTTTCTGTTCTATCGCCTCCATCAAGAACGCAGTGATGTTCTTTCCTAGTGAAGAGCAAGTCTCCTAGGGAAGAGGAAGTTATAAGTAAAGCTCTCATAGGCCGTCCTCTGAGCTGTGGGGTCTGCTACTTAGATACTTAGATGGCCCTCTGTCTTGCTTCTAGAAACTCTCAACTCCTCTTCTCCACTGTTGTCTTAATCAGTGTTCAATTACTGTAATAAGTACATAGAACACTGGACGTCTAAAGAAAAAAGGTTTCTCTGGGCTCTGTTCCTATTGGGCTTGTGTCAGGGAAGCACATCATAGAGGGAGCACATGGCATCATGAAACTGCTCAGAGAGATGGGGAGGCCATTTTCCTAATCCCACGATCCCTTTTAAAGACTCACTCTTCAGTAGCTTAAAGATCTCCTGCCAGGCCCCATCACTTAATAAAGTTTCCACAGCCTCCCAATAATGCCAACTTGGGGATCAATACTACCACATGAGCCTTTGGGGTGCATTCCAAATGGAAAAAGACACTTCTGTCTTCTCCTTCATAAGGGTTATAACAACTGGGAAAAAGCTCCACACAGCCTCAGCCTGCATCCGATTCCACTTTTACCACTTTCTTGCTCTAGGACCTTGGACAATTCCCTAGTTCCCCAATCGCTCATTTCTCAATTTCCTTATCTGCAGATTTCAGATAATAATATAAAGTTTCTCCAGACGTGTTTTTGTTTTGTTTGAAACAGGTCATCTCTGTGTAGTACTGGCTGTTCTGGAACTTTCTCCGTAGACCAGGTTGGCCTGGAACTCAGAATTCCATCAGTCTGCCTCTGCCTCCTGAGTGCTGGGATTAAAGACATGTGGCACCACCACTTTGCCCACTGACTTGTGAGTCTTCAGTGATTTCACTGGGCAATACAGTGCCTGGCAAATTGTTGTTGTTGTTATTATTTTTTGTGGTGCTAGGGATTGAACCCAGGTCTCTGAGCACATCAAACATGTACTCCACCACAGCAACGCCAATACTCTCCCAATTGTTAATGGTGAATTACTTCCCAATGTTAACTCAGTCTTTGGGACTCAATATTCTTCACCTAAAACTGTTTCCTTTTCTTTGGTTACCTTTGATGAATTTGCTCACTATTTCAGTTCTTCTGTTTCTTCTCACCCACCTTCTGGCCCCATTCCATAAAGACAAAGAACAACATGACACTGTATCCAGCTATCTTATGCTCACTGCTGGGGAACCAGCAAGGTGGGTCTCTGGAAAGCAAGGTAGGTCTCTGGAAACTGAAGCAATGCTCTGTTTTCCTTCTAGGTCCTCCTCAGGGCCTTCTTGGTAGGGACAAGGGTGTGGGTAGAGGGGAGGTGGGGTGGCAGGAGTGGGAGAGTGGGAAGAGTAGAGGAATTAGACTATGAATAGGCTGGGGATGTAGCTCAGTTGGTGAGACTGACTGCCTGGTAGAACAAGCACTAAGTCCTAAGTTTGAGCCCCAGTAGCACATAAATCAGTCAAATAGGTGCATACCTGTTATCCCAGAACTTGGGAGGTAGAAGCAGTAGGATCTCACATTCAAGATTCTCCTTGGTTACACAGGGAGTCTAAGTTAGCTTGAACTAAATGAGACCTTGTTCGCCTGGGTGTGGTGGCCAAAGGCATTGAAGGCCTTTAATTCCAGCACGAAGGAGGCAGAGGCAGGTTATCTCTGAGAGTTTGAGGCCAGCCTGGTTTACATATCCAGTGCACAGCCACTGACTAGAGTGGTTTCAGTACTAATTCTAAGGTTTTGTAGCGAGAGACTTCTTTTCTTTGCTTCACAATCAGAGCTACTCCTGACCCTAAGGAGATAATAAACTCATTCTAGGTCCAGCTCCAAAGTTATTGGCTTTGATAGAGGCAGATAAGGGCCATGAAGTGCTAAGGGTGGCTGGCCACACCTAATCGTTCATCTAGGATTGAGGGATCTCACTTGATGAATAGGTTTAAGTGGCCTAAGAAGCAAGGTCTACTCCATCCCTGTCTTTCTTCCCTTGTAAAGGAGCCAATTAGTGTTAATTGTGTTGGCAACTTGAAACAGTCACCAGGGAACTGATCCAAGGCAATTGTGGGATGACCCCTCTATCGCATCCTAGTCCCAGCCATTACTCATGTCAGGTAGGGGAATCAGAGCATTAGGAAATGTCCTCTGGTCAAAGAGAGTAAGTATATATTTCCCTTCTCACATACCTAGTGACCTGTGTGGCAGTTTTTAATATTGCACAGGCAGTGACCTGACAATACCTGTGTGTCATGGAGTGTGCGTAGGTGTAGGTAGATCAGCACTGGATACATGGGATACACTTAACAGAGGAATGTTCACAGCCTTCTTCCTTTCCTAACAGGCCAAAGGCTATCTCTCCTTTACAGCCCAATTTCCTATCTGCACCAGAGGCAGCTAAATCAATCTATTTAATAAGGAAGGAGGAGGGGGAGGCTTGGGAATAGTCCAGGATGTGGAATGTCAGATAACTGGAGGGAAGAAAGAGGGATATGAATTTTATTGCTGGGGTTATTAATTTGATCACCATTAATGTCCTTGGAGAGTCATTAGTAGGGATGGAATTTATATTATTTACTCATTTTGCTTAACGGATGGATTGCTCATCTTTAAACATGACATGGCTCTTGAGGCACCACTCCGCAGCGCTTCACCAATATCAACCCAACGACATAAAAGGAGTGCAGAAATTCCGACAAACACTGGCTATAGAACTGTTCTGAGAGGGTGGGGGTGGGTAAAGGGGTGGGGTGGGAGGTTCAGGAAAGAAAATGACATACCTTTTCTGGTCCTCACCCACCCAGTGACTGGAATGCGTGTTTGGGTGAGGTTTATCGTCCTTGAATATGCAAACTCTAAAACTTCCCCATTCTTCCGTGATCGATGATTAGTAGATTGAGTGTATAAGATGAGCTAGGTTTTATAAGAGTTTTGCTGAACAATTCCCCTAACTTGCTACCAACTTGGTTACAGTTGCTTAAATACTGTGGTTATTTCTGCCTCTATGGCCTCCAGGGCTAAAATGGGACAAGGCTGGTATTTTTGGTGATGAGGAAATCCTTTTAAGGGAGGTTTGGTGGTGACTGAACTGGGACACAGGTCAGAGCAGGGATCCCATCGGCGAACCAAGGGCCGTCGGGGGTTCTGGTTCTGGGGTGTCTCATTGCATATCCCTACCTTGCTAGGCGCGGCGGAAGCTTAGAAGTTACTGCAAACCCTGAACGTTTTCACTGCCTGTCCCCAGACGAGGGCACTCGGGAGCCGGCGCCTCAGGAATAGGGACCCACGCGGGAAGGTCGAGTTCGCTCGGTGAGGTCACGGTTGCCATGGCTCCGGGCAGTGACGCGCGTCCGCACGTGACGCGCGGTTGCCATGGTGCCGGGCGCCCGGCGGCGCGGGAGCCCCGCCTCCCGGAGTGACGTCTGTCGGCAACCCCCCTCTTTCGGCCCCCCCGCGCCCCCTCCCCCCCGGCCGGCTCCCCGCGGCCCCGGAGGTTTCACTGCACAACAAGATGGCGGCGGCGGCGGCAAGCGGAGCTGGCGGGGTTGCCGTGGCCGGAGCAGGGGGAGCCGGGCCGGCCGGCCGCCTGCTGCCTCCGCCCGCCGCGGGGCCCCCGGCAGCCCCCGCCGCTGCGCCCCCGGCCGCCGGCCAGCCGCGTCCTACAGCCCCGGCCTCCCGCGGGCCAATGCCCGCTCGCATCGGCTACTACGAGATCGACCGCACCATCGGCAAGGGCAACTTCGCTGTGGTCAAGCGGGCCACGCACCTCGTCACCAAGGCCAAGGTAGTGGCTCTGGGGACCGCGCGGTTGCGGGCTGCGCTGCCTGGGGAGGGGGGGGCGTTGCAGCGGCCGGGCCAGGGGAGTACGCGATTCCCCGGGGCTCGGGTCAGGGTCAGCAGCGGTGGCGGCGGGAGAAGGCAAGGACCTCACAGCGGACGGGGGGAGGAACTGAGCAACTGGGCACCTAAGGGGTCCCCAGGGCTGTACGCAGGGTGCTGGGGGGTGACTGGAAAGGAGGCGTTGGAACTCTCAGGGGGCCGGCGGACTGCACGCCAAGAAGACTCCGGAACCAGCAATTAGGAAACCATCAGAAAATGAGGGCAGGGGCATAGGAAATGTGGACCACAGGATGGGGGAGACGCTCAAACTGGCCACCTCAGGCTTCCCAGAGGCAGCTGGATGACTGGGGCATGGACTGAGGGTGTGCGGTGGGTGCAAGATAAGGACCTGGCACCTATGGCAGAGATAGGAATTCACATTTGATTATTTAAGACTGATGGTGTCAGTTGGAAGCTTGAGGAGCACACTTGATTATTGGAGGAGGCAGTGAAGGAAACGGGGAAGTAAGGGAAAAATGGAAGGGACCCAGGAACAGAAGATGTCCCAGGGTGCCTGGGGTTTTGGTGGCACTAGCTAACCAAGGGTTAAACAATTTAGGATAGATGGTTTGCTGGTTATTTTTAGTTGTCAGAGGGTCTGGAATTGTGGGCTTTTTAGAGTGCTCAGGGTGGGCTTTTCAGTAGGAAAGGGAACCGTGGGATTGACGCTAAAGAATTACACTCATTTGGGCCCTTTGGATCCCAAGGGATTTGAGGAGCTGTAGTAGTGAAATTGGCCAAGGTCAATTGGGAAACCATGTATGTATGTATATACACTTTTTTTTTTTTTTTAAGGAAACAGAGGTAGCACTTTTATATATTCTTCTTTGAGAGTATTAAGGAATCCTTTAGTTTTGATGGTACCCACAAAGCCCATTTGCATTCCTAATTATACTATGCTCAATACCTCACTTGAATGGATACTTTAAATGTAGTCATTCAGTATATTTAAAACAGTAGCTTGAGTTTTTCTTTAGCCTAGCTAATGAAAACCCTTTACAGCTTCTGCAGTTTCCTACCCAAGACACAGGAATTCCCTTTCCCTCTTCACCCTAGCCATTGGTGATCTTCACCTACCTTGTTTTGGCTTTTATGGCAGTCACTCCCTATCTGGGCCTTGTCTCCTGCTTACTTGCAACCTGAAGTTCCTTCCCTTGCCTCTCTTCTCTGTCAAAGACTACAAGGGGCCCTTCTTCCTAGGGTGACTGGGTGGGTAGCTGTGGAGGAGTGATTGGTCAGTTTCACTTCCTCTGGTGGGACCCCTTCAAGCCTGTTTTGTCAGTTTTTACCAGAGGGCCTCAAGTCTTTAGAGCCAAGTGACATACTCAAGTGCGCCTCTCCTGTTGCAATCCCTCAGACCCGCAGCTGTAGTTTGAGGCTGCATCTCCTTACCCCCTACAGTATGTGGAGCCCTGTTTACTGTTGACCAAGCCAAACTGTGTTTACAAACAATATGCCTCAGTCCTTGTTGCCCCTCCTCCCCCCCTCTGCTTCTGTAATTATTTTTGCTCTGACCTCTGGGAAATGGACTTCACAACATAATTGGTTGCCTGGCTATGTTTTCTATGATTTAAAGAATTTTGAATCTCCCAGCTCTTAGATATACCAAAATATTGATTAAAAAAAAATCTATGACAGGCTGGGTTGAGTGTCTTATAAATGTAATTGCAAACAGTTGATTCTTGGCTTTCTATATAAAAGGGACATTTCTGTCTTCAGTAGTCAGCAAAGCCAGTGCCTAATTATGGTTGGTCTGGCTGCTTTCTAGTGTGTGTGTGTATAGAGTTTTTCTCTGAGACCTTAGTATCCTCTGGGGCTGCAGCCTTTACAGCATTGGCTTGTTTATAGACGGGTGTCACTGTTTATGTTGGTTTTTATCTTTGATCGTTTGTGGCGTGCAGTTATGCAATTCCTATGTATGGAAATATTCAGACTTGAATGAGGCTGAAATGGCTGGGACAATGAGTTGCATGTGTGGAAGAGACCACACCAGCCTTTGTTTGTGCTTCTGTAGCAGTGTGCAATTTCCTAGCTCCAGTTCCAAGTGCTCTATCTTTTTGCTACTTAAATGGCTCTGGGGACATGGGTGAACCTCAATTCTCAAGGAGCTGTCACGTGCTCAGGGTGAACCATGGGCATATTTTGGCCTGTTCCCTGCTTATCTGAATTCATTTTGGAAGGGGTCCTTCAACACTGACAGCTGAGATGTACCCAGCAGCTGCTGACATGCAGTATGATGGCCTATTAAGGCCATGGTTTGGTTATATAATGGCAGGGAAGGTGCCTAGGTACTAGAAGTTGCGGGAGCTGCTGCGTCTGTTATTAAGGGAGATAGACTTTTCTCCCTGCAGGGTTTATCTGCTGCAGTCAGGTCAGATGGAGGCAAACGATTGTTTTTCTTCCCCATCTCTTTCTACAATAGGTTATTTCCCCCCCTTTTGAAGGTGTATGATTTTTTCCCCCCCTTTCTGTTTCCTTTCTTCCTTTATGTCACTGAATGGTGTGAGTTTTTCTTCTAGTGTTGTATAAAAATCAGACCCAGGTAATTCTGACGATGCCTGTATCTGATAGGAGGAGGCGTTTTCTGTACATCAGAGAACTATTTATGGCCCCCCTCTTCCTACGTGACCCATTCCAAGGACTAAGAAGCTAAAGCAAACTTCATTTATTGACTAAGCTACTGCACTCTGTCCAACAATAAGTGAAGCTGGCCCCTGTCCAAACCCTCTGTTAACTCAAACTTCCCAGAGTAGGACCCAAGGGTGAATAGAATAATGTGGAGAAAAGGCACTGTCTTTCTATGTGGTTGTAGGGCACCTTTGCAGTAAGGCTTCCAGGAGCTGAGACTTGACGCCAGCAGCCCTGCAGTGTTCCCAGCGAGCGTCACTGCAGAAGGGCTCACGGGAGCGACAGGCTTTGGTCAGCAGCTCATCCTGTCTTTCTTTGTCCTACCTGCTTTGATTTCCTTTTCCTATTTTGAGACACATAGCCCAAGGTTCTCTGTTCTTTTGGTAGAACACTATAAAATATTAAGGGGAATTTTTGTTTGTTTAAAATACATTCTACCCTCTCTCCCATTACTTATAGCCTATTTCCTGTGCCTAATTGTACCTTCAAGCTAGGTGGATGGCTGGAACAAAGACTAGCTAGATACATTCTGTGTGTATTTAAAAAAACTACACATGACTAGGAAAACTTTTGGCTAAGATATTTTTAAGTTGTTATTTCAGCATGTATCCTTCAGCCCCCCTGGCACTGGTTCTTGGTAAGAGCTTCAGCTTTGCCTAAAACTGCCTGGTCTGACTCCTCTGCTGTGCTGGGGCCTGAATAGTGACTGGCCAGACCTCTTTGTGCCTGGATTTCTTCATCTGCAATGGGATGACAGTAGCGCTCACCTCACCAGTTTTGAGTTTTGGGAAGATTAACTGCTATGTGTAATGCTGTCCGTGCAGTGTTCGGCACTTAAGAAATAGGTAAGAAATGTTGTCATCACACTCATCCGGTGCTGTAGTCAGTAAGATGAGTAAGACTGGCTAGTCCCCCTTTTTTTGCATTTTACACCCTGGGAAGAGCTCTTGACCAAAAGTGCCATTGGTTCAGGATAGGTAGACACAAACTGCATGTTATGCTTTTGTGCAAGAAAAAACAAAACAAAACCAGTCTGCTACTATTTGGAGTGCTGCTTTAAATCCTTGGTGTAACACTCTGGAGTCCAAGCTGGTCTGAAATTCTTGGTGACCCTCTTGCCTCAGACTCCCTGGTATTGGAATTATAGGCATGAACCACTACATTGGGCTATGACATTCAATCAGAATAGTTTTTCATTTCATTTTATTTTACTTTTAATTTAATTAATTTTTTGTTGTTGTTGTTGTTTTTTGTTTTTGAGACAGGGTTTCTCTGTATTGCTTTGGAGCCTGTCCTGGAATTAGCTCTGTAGAACAGAGATCTGACTGCCTCTGCCTTCTAAGTGCTGGGACTAAAGGCGTGTGCCACCAATGCTTGGCTAATTTTTTTTTTAACAAGAAACTTATCTGGGGCCAGTGATGGTGGTGGTGGGGCACACATTTAATCCCAGCACTCAGGAGCAAGTCCCTTACAGCCAAGGCTACATAGAGAAACCCTGTCTCAAAAAACCAGAAGGAAGAAGGGAGGGAGGAAGAGAGGGAGGGAGAGGGAGAGAAAGAGAGACTTATCTGAGAAAAACATTGGCTTTTGCTTTGGGCTATCTAAAATATTTATTAGCGTGCTGGGGATTGAACATAGTACACAAGTATTTGCACCACTGAGTACATATCCTCAACCCCTTCATTTTGTTTTGTTTTCCCCACATTCTCCCTGTAGCTCAGACTGGCCAGGAACTCACTGTGTAGCCCACTGAAATCTTGAATTTGAAACCTCTCCTGCTTTAGTTTCTCATGTGTTGAATTATAGGTTTGTGCTACCACATAGCTTTTTTCCTTTCATACTTTCAAAATTATTTTCAAATTAATTAATGTGTACAGGTGTTTTGTTGGCATGGTTGCCTTTGCACTACCTGCAACTGATGTCCCTGGAGACCAGGAGAAGACATCACTCCCCTGGAACTGTTGTGAGCCACCAGCCTTATGGTTCCCTGGAAGAGCATCCCGTGTTCTTAACCACTGAGCCATCATACCAACCCCATAGTATTATTTTTATTTTTCTGAGGTAGGGTCTTATGTAGCTTAGTCTGGCCTTCAACTCACCATTCTTCTATCTTCTCTGGCATGCTGGGATTACATGGAGCCCCCTCATCTGACTCAAATTTTCATTATTAATTTTCATCATACTGATGATGGAACAGGTTTTTTTTTGTTGTTGTTGTTGTTTTTCCCCTGCATATAATTTTTTTTTCAGAGATTCACTTAAGTTCTGTGGAAAATC